AACTTTATTTAACCATTTCTCTAATGTTGGACTTGGAATTTTCCAGTTACCACTTTTATAGGGCTGTAATCGACACTGATGCTTCTGATAGTTTCCTTTTTCTTTCTTTAACATGAATTTTCTTTTCTTTTAAGATTTTATTTATTTATTTGACACACAGAGAGAGAGAGAGAGAGACCAAGCACAAACAGGGGGAGTGGCAGGCAGAGGGAGAGGGAGAAGCAGGTTCCGGACTGAGCCGGGAGCCTGATGCAGGGAGCCTGATGCAGAGCTTGATTCTAGGGGATCATGAACTGAGCCAAAGGCAGACGCTTAACCAATTGAGCCATGCAGGTGCCCCTTCTTTAGCATGAATTTTCAAAAGCAGAATGCTTTTGCCAGAAGGCTTTGATATTTTTATGGTTTCTGATACGTTTTCCAAAAAAGGTAAACTCTTTGTACTGTCATTATGAAACTATTAGGTTTTCTAAATTCTCAGTGTTGGCTCTAAAAGTTTTTGTATTTATCATATTTAAACTTAATGTACATGTAATTTTGAACCATTCAATTAAATCAAATTCTTATTGGACTTCAGTCACTATTGTACACTAAACATTTTAAAATATTAACTAAAGATAACATTTTTATTTTTAGGGTTGTTATAAAGAATTAAACTCAGTCCATCCCAAATAATATCATAGGTTTGAATTTCATTTTCATTCTCCTATTTTCTAAAGCAGTTTCATTTGCTATAGCTTATCTAAATATATCAAGATAAATCTTTCTTACCCAATTGGTAGAAGAATTATAGGAGAATAGTGGATGTTAATCAACTATTAAAATCATCCATATTATAATCTAGCCTGAGTATTCTTACCTATAAATTAATAGTGTTAGTAGATATTTGATGGTGGTGGTTAAATGAAAAATCCATTTATTACAGCACCGCAGCATTTAGAGATTCTGGTTCAATTGTTTTAGACTTGGCTTTGGTTTTTTGTTTTTTTTTTTAAAGCAGCTAGAGTTATGAACCACTGGTCTGCATTGTTACAGGTCTGCTATCATGATATGCTAGCTGCCTTTAATATTAAGAATTTACCTATCTCCTTTGTGTTATTCCCCTTGCTATTTTCCCAACACTCCCTTTTTAATTCTTTGGACTCCTTATCCTTGGAAGAGTTAGAAGATGAAGCCTATTTTGTGATTTACTGAAAGATGTAGGGGTAAATAGGTAGAGAAGGAGCCTACATATAAAGTAATAACCTCCCCCCTCCCCATGCCATTTGTTCTGCACATTTTGTTCCTTACATTTTAATGTAAAAATTCTGTTTTTCCTTTTAACCCCTGTGGAAAGGCTTCCTAGCAGTAAGGAAAGAGAATAAGCTTTATTGCCAAAGAGACCTGGGTTTATTCTCAGCTCTACTATTTACTGTTATCTTAGTATTTTCTTTATCCATAAAATGAGGACCAATAGTATCTTCCTTGCTTTCCTCCTTGTGATGATTAGAGATACTATAAGTTAAGCGCCTAAAAAGTTCCTGGCTCAGTGAGTAATAGCTGTTATTGCCATTCTTGTGATTTGGGAGTCTCCTAGGAAAGTGAAAGGCATAGCCAGGAATTACAACAGCAGGCTATACATGTGTCCTCCTCATTTGTGATATTACCAAGATGATGCTGACAAATGGTATTGTGAATTTTAAAAGTTAGAAATCTAACAATTTAGTTTATTTATTGGTTTTTAAGGGTTTCATTTTAAAAGTTTGAAAATCTTTAAAAATTTGAAGATAGAGAAAAGAACATTATCCATAATGCTACTATTCGAATAATTATGGTTAGGATTTTTGAATCATAATTTGGAAAAATATCAGAACAATCTCGCAATCTTAAGTGATAGCTGGAGAAGCCAAACATTTTAAGGACCATAAATATAATGGAAGAAGTGCTATACCAAGAGTAAACAGTATAAGAATAGGAGAATTAATCATGAAAGCTTTCCTGAAGGAAGTGGTTCTTTTAGCTGAATTTTATTATTTTTTAAGATTTATTTATTTATTTTAGAAAGTGTGTGCACAGGGGGGAGGGGCAGAGGAGAGTCTAAAGCAGACTCCTTACTGAGCACAGAGCCCGACTGGAGCTCAATCTCAAGATCCTGAGATGACAACCTGAGCCAAAACCAAAAGTTAGATGCTTATCTGACTGCACCACTTGGGCACCCCTAGCTGAATTTTAAGATAGTGAGTTTATTTAGAAAGAAAGAAGCAAGGGGCACCTGGGTGGCTCAGTCATTTAGGCGTCTGCCTTGGGCTCAGGTCATGATCCCAGGGTCCTGGGATCAAGCCCCATATCGGGCTCCCTGCTCCGCGGGAAGCCTCCTTCTCCCTCTCCCACTCCCCCTGCTTGTGTTCCCTCTCTCACTGTGTCTCTCTCTGTCAAATAAATAAATAAAATCTT